TATTACAAAAACACAAAATAAGTATAAATAAGTATTTATATTTGTGTACAAGCTGTTTAGATTGTCAAAAAGCCTGTGTTTTTAGGGTTATTAACAAAGTATGTGTACATAAGTATTTATATTTGTGTACAAGCTGTTTAGATTGTCAAAAAGCCTGTGTTTTTAAGGTTATTAACAAAGTATGTGTACTCAGACCAGTAATATTTGGGGTCACAAGTTTTTGCCATGAATATTTTGTGGGTCAGAAGATAAAAAGTTTGGAAACCACTGCTTTAATTGTTAGACTTACCTAATTCTAAGGTTTTTTTCGGCTGAAAGTACACAGCTCTTTCCTAACACAACTCAGTCTAGGACAGTTGTCTTCTGGTCTGCTTGATGTGACTCAACACTGCAGAGTGCTAGGTGGTATGCCCCATATTTTATACCACGGTACTTTCAACAATTATCCCAGTGTCCACAGTATTTCACAGTATTTTTCTTTTCCCTAAAAACCACTACAAAACTAAATCACTAAAATAACTACTTAACTTTTTGAACAGTTTTATCATCTTCACCAACAAGACAGAAACTTTGATACCTTTTTCATCTGACTCTGAGTCAGAATCATCAGAGCTCTCCTCCACATCCATTTCCTCCTCATCCTCTTCCTCCTCCTCCTCACCTTCCTCGTGGTCGCTGGTTTCTTGCACCTCCTAAAGCAGCATATTCAAATTATTTCGTTCTTAAGGAGCATTTACTCAGATATTTACGACAGGGCGTAGAGCTGAGAACAGATCAAACCATTTCGGTGTCCTCATTGACCCGCTCCGATGTTTCCTTCTCAGAGGCTTTTTCTGGCTCGTTGTCAGCTTCCTCCTTGTTGGCACTAAAAGATTCAGAGGTGATGGTTACACAGAGCTGCTCATCCATGATAAATACGACTTTACATAAAAGTTTCCTGTAGAAACAAGTTCAGATACGTCAAAACACATGTAGAGAACAAAGTATCTGAGGGTAATTAGACAGTTTAAATCATTTAGTGGGCACAGCTGTGAACAATCAGGGGGTAACACTGTCTTTTAGACAAAAATAAATAAAATAATTCAGCAAATGATAAAATGACATGTTCAGGTTCACGCTTGATGCTTTGAAACCAAGTGAGTCTTTGCAACAAATAATGAAGGTGCCTTTCTTCTGTTTTCATTGGAGTTTTTGTGGAAAAGACAGTGTCCTTGAACTGAGAAGGGAGGGATCTCAGTCTGAACAAAACCAAATGAAGTAAAGAAGCAGAGTGGAAAAAGCAGCTAAAAGAAACATAAATCAAATCCTTAAAACAAATGAAGTGGATAAATATTTTGTCAAGGGCTGAAACTGTTCATCGGATAACTCAAATAACTTGATTATAAGAAATCCTTGAGGCAAAAGTCGGATTTATACACGACTGTTTGATACTAACTGTGGTTTAGATCAGTGGTTCCCAAACTTTTCAGCTGTTGACCCACGAAATTTTAGAAGCAGACCTGAGCCCCCATCTGTTGTAACAATATCGTTTTTACGTCAAATAAACGAACGAGCATATAACATTGTTTATGACATTATTTTTGTCCATTCTAAGTACACTAATATTATTTTGTAACAACAAAGGCAAAAAAAATGTTGTTGGTTGTCATTTTTTAGTATAATTAATTCAGAAAATATTTTCAGGACCCCACTTTGGGTCCCGACCCCAACTTTGGGAACCACTGGTTTAGATGATCAACTATTACTATAGGACACGTTTCTGCTCCACAATGTGCAACAAAGCAAGGAGGGAAAAGAAAATGATTCAATCTGAGGAAAGGTCCAAAGAGGCTAAAAGCTTTAGCTCTGCATCAAACAGAAACAACGAGAAAATAATCTGCATTATTGTGGTAAGCTGAATCTGGTTTAATAAAGTCAACAACAACGTGCAAGGAAACACTCTTATTGAAAGGTTGATTACTGCAGACAAATGCAGCAGCTTCAAGTAGTGCTGTACCAAACAATTATTTTCAAATTGATTAATGTAACGATTATTTTTTCGATTATTTGATTATTCTAACAACAAATCTAAAAGTTATTCTGATGTGAGTGCACTGGAAATTTAAAATGTTTTCATCAAATTAACAAGAACAGTTCTTTAATATTGTAAT